AGCCGAAGGAGCTGCCGGCGCGGGGTCGGGAGCTGATGGCTGCGGGGTAATGCGGGCAAAGCAGGAGCGAGAGGGAGACAAAAGGGCTGGAGCCCCAGCAGATGTGATCCACCCCGTTAAAGGGAACGGCCGGCGCCTCTGCAGCCGTGTTTATGCCGCTGCACGCAATAGGCACCGGCCCTTCGTCCCCCCCGGGGAGGTTTTTACGGCATTAATTCCCTCTGCACAGAAGGCAGCCCGCAGGCTCCTCTCAGCAGCCAGCCCTCCGTCCCCCCAGCTCCCCGTGCCCCAGAGCCCTGCCCGCGGCGGCTGCCCCCCGTCCCTCTCGGGCCGATGTCCCCTGTGCCCAATGAAGCAGACCACGAGGTGCCGCGGATGGACCCCAGGATTCTGATTTTCCTGCTCTACGTGATGATCCTGCACGAGCTGGTGAGCGGCTGGATGGAGTACCAGAAGCAGATAGCCAAGCCCAAGAAGCAGGCGGGTCCGGTCTGGTCCTCTAGGTGAGTCAAAGCCTGTTGTGTTTCCAAAAGGTGAATAGCTCGGGTACGTTTTGATGGGGAAAATTGCTTTTTTATGTTCATCAGTCCCTAGAAATGTGTGTGTGTGTGTGTGTTGTCCGTTGTGTGCTGATGCACAGAGGCAGGATTAAGGTCTGTTGATCTTTCGAGCCTGTATTGTCTGGCTGTGCATTTGAAACACTCACAGATTAATATGCCTGTGATTTGGGGATTTTTTGGGGTGGAAATGTGCCGTAACTCAGCATATCTCCTGTGACTCAGGTTCTCAATCAACATACTTGGAAGAGAAAAATGTAGGTAGCACAAGGAGCTACGCTTGCTGCGTGATATTCCTCAATGAGGCACGAGCCTCTAGGGACTCTTTGTGGAGTATTTCATGTTAAATCACTGGGGTGCATGTCACTCACTCACCACCTCCTTGGGGCTGTGCCCACCACACTAACCCCTTCCTTCTTTTCTGCCCAACAACAACGATAAGCTGGAGAAATAAGGATGTAAAAGAAACCCGCTGCATGTCCTCAAAATTCAGAAATGTTTCTGCAGACATTGGTTGCAGCTGGTTCACTTGTAACAGAGTTTGGGGTAATGGTGGTCTTAACGTTTAGGGGGTTGTAATTGGCAGCTATCCACTGGCTGTATGATTGGACTCACACCCCGGGATCCAAAATTCCCCTCCTGCAGACCCCAGACAATGGCACACCAACTCCCCGTGGCTTTGGCCCTGACAAGCTGCCTGTGACCCAGTTTGCTGTAGGGCTGACAGCTGCAGAACGGGTGTGCAGAGCTCACAGCCCTTATCCTAATCCTCTGACGTGCAGCACTCCCAGCCAGCCTTACAGCCCCGCTGGGCTTGGTGCTGCACACACACCCCAGAGGTGTCTCCAGACATGAGACCACCAGGAGAAATGGGGTGGTGAGCCCCTGGCCCAGGCTGCCCAGAGAGGTGGTCGCTGCCCCATCCCTGGAACCATCCCAGGGGAGGTTGGCCGGGGCTCTGAGCACCCTGCTCTAGCTGCAGATGTCCCTGTCCCTGCAGGGGGTTGGACTGGATGACCTTGAAAGGTCCCTTCCCACCCAAACCATTCCATGATTCTATAACAGCAGTGGTGCAAGGATGCACCCGTGGCTTGCTGGAAATCAGCAGCCAGCAGGTAGCAGTCTCTTTGTCTGCAGTTCAGGGCTACATTCCCTGGCTGGATTTCCAGGCCAGGAAGCTGAACCACACCTTGGGCTCTCTGTAGCTGTACAAGTAAAGCAATTAGTGCTGGGAAGGCAGCCACGGCTGGAGACAGCTCCAGTGCAGGAACAGCTTGGGGTCCACCAGTCTGCAGGTCTGTGATGGAGCCAGGGTCACGTTCCCCCCCTGCCTTGGAGGAGGGGTGCGGGGAGGCACGGGGCAGTCCCACCGAGCTCTGAGGTACCCCTGTGCTGTGATGCAGAAAACCTCATGAAATCATTTCAAGGCCACCAAACAGCTTGCATCAAGCAGCCAGAGAATGTCACAGGACTGTTTTTATTAAGAGAATCTAAGGGAGTTGGGTAACTCATCAAAACACAAAATCTTTAGGGGCTTCCATCTACCTCGGCCTCATGTGGGGACTGAGCTGGGTGATTTGTGCAGGGCTCCAAGCCTGGGGCCGTCCCAGCCCCCTCCACCCGAGGTGAGGTGCAGCCCACCCTGCCTGCTGCCACAGCAGGCTTTGCCCTGCCCCTCCCTGCCCTGACAGGAGCTCCTGCTGCTCCCCAGCTGGCTTTATCTGGACAGCAGAGCCACCAGGGCTGTGGGTGACAGGCGGATCGTTCGCAGATCGCACCATAAGCAGGTGAAGCTCTTGTGGCCTGGAGAACTAGAAGATTACAGGATGAACTGGGATCCTCTTAGCAGAATTAAGATTGTCCTGCGTGGACACCTTGCTGCTGGTGCAGCCTGGGCTCAGACACCACCACTGCACTAACAAGCTGTGTGAGTGCTGAGCCCTCGAGGCCAGGTTTCCCAGTGCTCAGAGAGAATGCTAAGAAATGGTTGCCACATCTGTAGCCTGGTTCTCCAAAGAGTCCCAGCTAAGGCTCAGCAGTGTAAGGAAGCTTCCTTGTGCCTTGTGTGGGCTCGGGAGCACCACAGCACAAAGGCAGCTCAAAAGTAATGTTCCCACCAGTTGGTTTAATGCTGGACCAGCTCCATGGCAGCCTGGCCCAAGAGTCACCTGTTCTCTGGCAGCTGATACGGTGCCAGCAGGAGAGCATAGAGAAAGCTGCAATATTGGCTTTGATTTAATTGACAGGAGGTGACTGGACAGCCACACCAGCACCAGACTGAACGGATGGAGCTGGGGCACCCGGCCAGGCTCAGCCCTGGTGCCAGCAGTGCTGGGGGGTGGCGGGTGCTCACACACAGCCATCGAGCCACCTCTCGCTGCCAGGCACCACTTGAGCTGGGAGGAGTGAGAGCGAGGGGCTGGTGCAACCTCAGATCCCAGGATTATTGATTTTAGGAAGGAATTGCAGACACTGTCATCTGAAGCCTTCCTGAAAGAGCTTAAACCTGAGTTCAGAGCAAGGGAGAGCTCCTTGGAAGAGGTGGCTGGAAGGCTTCCAAGGAACCAGGCCACTGCTATAGAGGTGAAGCTTCATCTCCTGCCACAGGGCCTGAGCTTCCACCTCCCCAGCCTGTTCCGTAAAATTAATTAACTTGCAAACCGATTAAGAAATAAAGTTATAAAGCAGCAAGGTAATTAAGACATGAGAAACCAGTCTCTTGACTGCACCCTCAGCCCAGGCAGGGATTTCAGGGCACTTCCTCCTGTTGTGGATGTTGAGTAGTAACAGGCTGTGTTGTGGAGCAGCTTTTTCTCACATTCACAGCTTTTCCCCAGCTCTGTCGGCCCCCGCCCTGGCAGGGCTTAAGAAATAAAGTTATAAAGCAGCAAGGTAATTAAGACATGAGAAACCAGTCTCTTGACTGCACCCTCAGCCCAGGCAGGGATTTCAGGGCACTTCCTCCTGTTGTGGATGTTGAGTAGTAACAGGCTGTGTTGTGGAGCAGCTTTTTCTCACATTCACAGCTTTTCCCCAGCTCTGTCGGCCCCCGCCCTGGCAGGGCTGGCAGCTC